TGCGTTTGGTTTTTAAAACAGCGTCTTGATCTCTCGTTTATTGAAGGTTTGGATTGTTTAAGTAATTAAGTGGCAATTTTGATGAATATTACGATGGTGTTGATCATGATTGGATCCTATGAGATTTAGGTCCTCTTTTGAGAGAACTCGGGCAATCATTGTAAAAAACACGAAACTGATTTTAGCTGCCAAAATGTTTTAATGCAATTTCCATAACTGGGACTCATTAATAATACAAAAGTTAGGTTTTTCCCTCCGCAAAACCCATTTCAGTCTTACTGATAGTTAGGACTCTATCAATTTAATTTAGAATTCTGGTTATTCAACTTTGTTTGGGTAGAGCAGTATTTCTTTATATTTTCCCTATTAAAGGTTCATACAAAAACTTACAGACAATGCCTTGTCCTTCATTCTTTGTTGGCCACTTAGTTTTTTGCGAAGGATTTGTGTTGGGTCCTGTTACTACTGTCATTTATGGTACATGATATTCTTAAACTGTATTTCAAATAACTGTACCTGGATTTTGGATGTTGAGTTGGGTTTACTTTGTCTTTTTGTAAGCATCTGTCAAATTGTATTTGTCTGTGTTTTATGCTTTTTGTGATTTTCGCAATTATATGAGCAAAGTTTCATTTATTTAAATGTCAGTGTGCTAACTATGCTCTTGTGTTTGAATCTCTATGACCATTTATTTACTCCTATAAGTTTTATGGTTTGATAAATTAAATACTAAATATTTGATTCTTTTAATGTATCATTTTCTTTCGTCCAATAGTTGCAAATGGATTATGGAGGTAGATATTCTGGCAGCAATGCTATTGAGATCATTCCAGAAGCTTCCAGTACCGGCGGTAGTAATGCCTGGATGCCTCCATCCAATGATCAATCAATATGGGCAACCGAGGATGACTATCAGGTTTGGAATGCTGAGCCTTCCTCAGATTCCATCTCAAACTTCAGCCAATCTCGGGCTGGAAGCGAGCAGCCTCCCAGCAAGAAATCTCGAGGTTCTTCTCAGAATGATGCCCAGTTGAATGGATCAACAAGTAAGTCAAAGGCCATAGGAAAGATGTTTTTTAAAACGAAACTCTGCTGCAAGTTTCGTGCTGGGACTTGCCCTTACATCACAAACTGCAATTTCGCTCACGGGATGGAAGAGCTCCGGCCGCCCCCTCCAAATTGGCAGGAGATTGTGGCGGCACATGGCGGCACATGATGAGGCATCAGAGCCGAGGGAGGAGCATCAAATCCCTATATTGACCTCCTCTATGTTGGTGGGAGAGGGACAGAGGTCCTATAAAGGAAGACACTGCAAGAAATTTTATACAGAAGAGGGGTGCCCTTATGGTGATATGTGCACCTTCTTGCATGATGAACAATCAAAAGCCCGTGAGAGTGTAGCAATAAGTCTTTCACCTACAGTTGGGGGTGGAGGGTATGGAACTGCCGCTAATGGTTCAAGTCAGAAGCCTTCAAATTGGAAGACAAGAATTTGTAATAAGTGGGAGATGACTGGGTATTGCCCATTTGGTAGCAAGTGTCACTTTGCTCATGGGGCAGCAGGTACCTACTCAAATGATATTCTAGGTCACAAATCTTCCCTATTTGTTTATCCCATAGACTCATGCTTAGTGCTTACTACAGGGAAATTAGGTTTCTGTTAGTTACATAGAGTTCAATTGTTTGACCAGTAAAATAGATATGCTTAGCGGCTTTTGAGATTTGTTCTATAACTCTTTCTTGCCTCAGGTTAGAACTTGCTGGCCCCAAACATTACTGATACACAGCCTAAGGGATACAGTGATTTATATAATTAAAATATTCCTTAAACTGAACAGTTACATTTCATGCTAATTCTTGGGCTACTCGAATTCAACTGAGTCATATGTGGTTCTTGATAGTTATTCTGAACTCTGAAGGGCCTAATATGTTATTATCAGTGAGCCTCCTCACCTCCCTGGAAGGCAAATAACAATAATATGTATCTTTTATTGATATATGCCTGGATGTTCTTAATGAGTACCTACAGATGATGTCAATTCCATGGCGTTTTAAGCTAATTGATGCATCATATGTGTTAAAAGTCCTGATACTACTTCATTGCTCATGATTTGTGCAATCAATCTTAGATATCTAGATACTATTCTCCATCTCTAATGGTGTTGCAGTGTTCACTGTAGATGCGTATAGTCTCTATTTATCGGGCGCTCATTGCTGTAGGCCCTTCTTCTTTGACTGCAAATTTTAAGCCCTGAATTAACTCTAGACAATACGCACTGTAAACTGTAAATTACTTAACATAATTGTTGGGTTTATAAGGGGAACCCACAGGCCCAAATGCAGTGCCGTGTTTGTAGGCCTTCTTTTGAGATATATATAGGCATTCATGAAGATGCCCTGCTTCCTATGTTCTCCTACAGCATCCCGTACTCCTACATGTAGCGGTTATTTATTCCTCCCTGTATTCTTCCTAGGGATAGTAGAAGGTGAAGAAGTGGGGATCTCTTGCCTATCTTTAGGTGTACTTATCCTGCTCCCTTTGCACAAAAATTTTTGGATTACATGGTGAACATATGCAATCCACATCAAACATTTACATCTAACAAGATTTTTGTTCCTATAAATTATGTCCAGGAATAGAATTTACGCTTCCGACAAACTATGATTATTAGATTAGTTCTAATGTTGTTTAAGTCTTAGAGGCATGATGAGTTATATGGTACAATAATAATAGCTGAAAGATAGGTTTTTCTCTTTCTTTTAGTTATTCTGGTGTTAACACGAATCAAAAACTTTGTGGTGCAGAACTTCATCGATATGGTGGGGGGCTTGTAGAGACAGATGGTAGAGACATTACTTCAGCAGCAACAGACTCAAAGCAGGCTGGTGCGTCAGTAAAGGCTCACTCAGATGTTGTTGTGGCGTCTAACACATCAATTCCACATCCAGATGTTTATCATATGGGAGTTCCTGCTCAGAGGACTGCTGTTGGCAGTCAGAGGCAAGGACAGAGGCCTTTTCAGAAGTGGAAAGGTCCTGATAAGATTAGCAGAATTTATGGTGATTGGCTTGAGGACCTCGAGTAGCACTGCTGCCTAGCGAATACAAGGCACCTCGAAATGGGGAGATGTTTCTCCCATAATTTATAATGAAATTGGGAGACGCAGAAATGGTGCCTTCTTCAATTGTATTGCATCCACATGAACCTTCAATAAACAGCAGGATTCAGTAAGTTATTTTCACTCGCTCCAGAGAGTTTATATATAATAACTCTTCTCGTGTGCAAATTTCTTTGGTAGAACCAGATAGCTATGTGAATTGCTGTCTTGACTATTATGAAAACACTTCGACAAGCCAAAGTTATTGGAGGATATAGTTGATGCAAAAGTTTCCTGCTTTCATCTTTTGGACCGGTATAAGGTATGACATATGTTAAGAGTTGTATGTTAGTCTGCATGTTAAGAGTTGTATGTTAGTCTGCATGTTATAGTTGTGATGTTATTGAGACAGATGCGTAAGTTTATCTGATTTTCTATTTTCAAATGTGCACGTAGTGAAAGTGGTTTATTGTCCCTATTCCATGCTCTGTTTTTGTAACTTGATAACTGAAAGTAAAAGAAGCCAGTTTGCTTTGGCTATGTTGATGTAAGTTGTAAGACATGAGTTAATACAAACAGTTAGGAAACATTTAAACAGTTTCCTGTGGTTTTCACAATCTGTTAAAGGTTTCCTTTGTGTCCGTCTCGTTAGCTATTCTTGAGTTGAAACATATTTTACCTTTATCGAGCTCAAATATTTTCAACTTGTGCAAGAGAAACTTTCCAACCTGAAACGTGTTTTTTTTTCCTTTTCTTTGAATAGGTGAAATAACCCCTTTAGTATTGATTAGATATAAACTTTTCCATTTATTTTATCTGCAACAAGGGTTTGAGATGACAGTTTCATTCGTCTCCACTACTGTCTGCTCAGAGGATGACTTATTTGTATCAATGTAGAAAACTTTAGTAGTTATGCAGTAATTAGTGTTCGTCAGCCTGCTTTGCATAAGTTAGTCATATGAGGTGATCTCAACTTCTATTTTCTTTTTAGTCTTAAAAGTTTGATGTTAAATTGCCAATAAGAAAAAAGTTCGCTTCTTAGAAAGTACATCTCTTCATAATGGCTATAGAAAATAATGAGAATATGGAAACATTTCATCTGACAATTTTCTGTCCTCAAGTTTGTTTTACTGGCGTGGTTTCACCAATATTCCAATTTATATTAACTTATTTTTCATGGCGACACATTATGAGCAATCTTCTTCTTGGCAGCAGTTAAGCTATCAGACATCATTATGTTCAACATAAGGGCATGCTGGACTCTGTTTAATTGACTGGAATTTACTCTATTTAGTAGCAATTAATCTAACCATAGGAGGTGAACATGGCATATTAGGCTTGATTTAAATGAGGTTGTTTGAGGTGTCAAATTGGTTATTCTCTCTAAAGCTTCTTTGCATGGCATATCTGTCCTCAGCATTTTCTATTTTAGTTAACAATGTGTCTGGGTTAAGCATTAACTATGCTAAAACTCCCCTTAACTATTTTGGTAAATTACCAAATAAAGGCTCTAGACTTGCTAATTGTCTTAATTGTAAGCAAAGATTCCCTCCCTATCAAATATTTGGGTCTTTCCCATAGATTTTGGTAAGCTTTCTAGAATGGATTGGCAACCTATTCTAGATAAACTGGAACACACTTTCTTTGCGGAAGAATAGCAATTTTTCTATTGGAGGGAGAATTGTTCTTATAAGCTCTGTTTTATCGTACCTATTCTAGACAAACTTCCATGTTGACTTATTAGGGAGATATTGATGAAATCAGGAGAAATTTCTTATGGGGGCTGTTACTGATGCTAAATCTTACAAATGCCTTGTCAAGTGGGAAGTAGTTTGTCTGAGTAAGGAAGAGGGAGGCTTGGGGGTCATCAATCTTGAGTTGTTAAATAAAGCTTTTCTTTCTAAATGTATTTGGAAAGCTATTAAACATGATTCCCTCTCTGGTCTTATTCTTAACTCTATACGATAATAGAGACTCCTTTCTGTAATGTTTATTCTCTCTTCAAGCTCATTCTTTCTTCTGGAAGAATGTATCCCTGATTAAGGACCCTTTCTCTTCCTTTATTAATTAAAATGTAAATTAGAGATGGAAAATCTATTAGATTTTTGGGAAGATAAGTGGACAGGAAATAACTCTTTGGCAAGCATTTTTTCTTGCACTTTATGATTTTGCATGGTCTAAACGTGTCCCTGTTAGAAGTCAGGGATTTTCATCACAATGGTACTTGGATTTGGCATCCTCAGTTGAGACGAGCTTGGTCTGATCATAGTACTGTTGAGAAGCAGCAGCTCGTGCAACTTTTAAGCTCCTTTGTCCCTTCTTCTAATCATGATAATCCCACTTGGTCTCTTACCAATTGAGAAAGAGTTTAAAGTTGATTCTTTGTATAAGTAACAGAAGGGGTATTATATCTCAGTTCTACAAGTGATCTGAAATCCCATCCTTCCTAGCAAAGTTAAGAGTTTTCACATGGCTTCTATCTCGGAATAAGCTCAACACTAAGTCCAATTTATTCAAAAAAGTATGGCAAGGGAATATCAATTGTGTTTCTCGTGGAATTACAAATGAAGATGCTGATCATGTCTTTTTTTGTTGCCACTTTGTTCAAATGTTGGGCTATACTTTAAAGAGCTGATGAAACCTGTGTCCTCAACTTCATTTACTGAGCTCTTCAATTCTATAGGAAATTATTTTGTTATTTTTTATTTTTTATTTTTTATTTTCATGTCTGAAGACAGATGTATCTGGTTAACCATCTTTCCTATCACATGGTGGTGTATCTGTAAAGGTATGAACAAAATGATTTTTATGTGCAAGGAGGCCTGGTATGGTGATATTATTAATAGTTTAATACCTCTATTCATTTTTCAGTTGAATAGTCATTTTTTTTGAACTGAAATATTCCTCCTCTAGTAAAGTTGTAAGAAATTTAAAATTGGCTTTAGAAGAACAGGGCTTTC